TTCACGATAGCTTGATGGTTGTTTTGGTTTTTTTTGAAAACTCAGAATCGCTAGCTTGTTTATTTTTTGTCATGTAATTTTTTCACCAAATAATCCTTTTTCTTGGATCTTCGAAACGATTCAAAGAAGAGGATAGTTTGGAAAAGGAGAACGCATGACTGAAGTAGACAAATAACTTTTGAAAAAAAATGTGGAGAATTTATGTAGGGTAAACTTCGTACAATGGGTTAAGTTGATATGACTAGAACAAAACTGGATCGAAACACCTTCAAACAAGTCATCTACGAAAATAAACTCTACATAAACAACATATAACCAGATAATCAAAAAGAATATTTTTTTTCTAGGATCAAGAGTAACTCTAAAAGGGACATATCCCTTTTTTTAATTACAACTTGTGGGAAACCCAATAATACTCTTGATTAAAGGAATCATGCTTACATTCAAGTGATGACTAGTAATGGGGTGTGTCAAAGGATGGCTCTAGTAATGGGGTGTATCAAAGGATGGTTTTCTCATAGGAGTGTCATGATGCCTTCTGAGCTCTTGCTAAGCTATAAGGGTAAGCAATGAGTTTCTCACGATCCCGATGGATAACGACTCATCGACGAATTAGGTCTTTGAAATAATTGGGTCATTCCATAGGGTCCACATTATGTTCTCAGGCCTAAACAAGTCATAAAGATAGATGGTGAGTCGTTGTATCCCAAATGAGCGGCGGTCTATCCGCTATTTGGGCCTACGAGACGCGTCGACGAGGTGTCAAAGGAGAGACAAAATTCAAAGGAAGTATACCAAAGGAGAGGTAGAGTTTTCTTAATCAGGTAGAGATAGTCGGGTCAGGATACCTTGAATCCATCATCCCAAGCTATCAAAGTCTATATGATCGTAAAGGTAGTCGAGCCAACCTGACCAAAGACCTCTTGTCAAAAATTCATGAATTATGTCGTCCCAAGGAACATCGATAGCCCTAAGGTCAAGAGAAGGAAACTCTGAATCCTATAACTCTGAATATTATGCCCATGTAGGTAGAAAGTAGAGGTGAGACTTATACTTGCAAAAATGACAAGGAAGTCATTGGAATGAAAATAAAAGAGAAGTACGACTACAAAGTCGAGACGCTCTCTCTCACAAAAGACGCATATCCCGTCCGAGTCGGGATCTAACACCTTAAGCGCACTACACAACCACCTAAGTAGAAAAATCTTATGTTTGGCCAGGAGAGTTGAAAAAGCGCAGGGACTTCTCCTCGGGACATGCAAATATGATGCAATTAGCTAACAAGTCCTAATGTTATGTTAACCGTTTTAAATCCGGCTCAAAGACTATGCAGGAAAGTAAGAACATGTTGAAAAGTTGAGATGTTTTAAACCTAAATTTTAATTAATTTCAATCTTTTATTATTAAACTTTTGTACAAAAGTTATAATTTCATATCTTTAGAGAGCCTAAATTACATTCTTGATGAGCCCAAACAAACCGCAAAGCAAAAATGAAAAAATGTCATCACGCAACACAATATAAACAAATCAAATATAAAGAATAAAATATCTGATGTCGTTGGGTCGACAATATATCTTATAAAAGAAAAAAAATACAGTCAGAGACTGTATATACATGTCTAGTCATAATTTTATAAATCAAAGATAATTCATAATTAAGATACAATACACGAGCATTTTGACTGTGGTCCCCGCCACATGATTCTGTTGATCGGGCTTTTCTATATATATATGCATGTATCTTATTTCTAATAAAGACTCTACTTAAAGACTCTAAAAAGTACAAGTTAAAAAGTCTAAAATAAATACTCAACTTGCAAAAACAGTAGGGTTAGTAATGGTTAGGCTAAATTTTTAAAATACTTTGTTTAACATTTTTTTTTAATTGTTAAATCGACACACAAAATAAATTCAAAAATCGACAAAGTCACCACTAATGTGACTACTTTGGCAAAAAAAAAAAAAAAAAATTTAAAAACTGACATTATATTAGCTGTGCATTTCTTTTCAGCAAACAACCCCTTCAACAAATCTCCAACTCAAGAACCTTCTAGAAGAAGATTTATTGGTCCCTAAAAGCACATGACTTTCAGGAGATGCACAGCAGGAAAAATTTACCGAAGTACTTACCGAACCATACAGTTACACGAAAGAATTAAATGTTGTCCCTACTGAGCGGTTAGAAATTAAATGACTCGACAAATAAGGCATCCAGAGCAACCAGATCCAGATGTTACCTCTCAAGCATTCATAATGCATTCACTTCCATATACAGTCCTCAAAAAAATTAAAATAGTGATTCTCCTGTATAAATGTAAAAATTAAAAAATGTTGGTGTTAAATATGTGAAGTACTGTAATTTTTGGGAAAAAAATGCAATATTGAGCTTAAAATTGTGTTGTTCACAGTATATATATATATATTCATGACATGATATTGCAAAAGAAACATTGATTGACTCTTTGTCTAGCAACAGATGTAGATTGATTTTGAATCTGCACTTTATAATTACAGCAATTATCAGATTTCTTACAATAAAAATTGCAACATGTAGCTGATCTACAATAAACTAGTAAAAAGCGAAGTTTCAAACAAGGAGAAAAGACTGAATAGTTTACGGTATAGGCTGTAGCATAAAATTGCAGGTTGTATACATCAGCAATTTGTTGTTAGTCATACATAGTAGTTGAAGCAAAGCTGCTTCTGAATTTTCTTCCATCTTGCTAATTCTAATTCAACAAATTCCATGAGCACAAGGATCCCATTTCCATGCCCCGATGTCGTAATTCCAAGACCATTCAAATAAATGGTGGTAGTATCCACCTTGAAGTGCAGGAACTGCTCTGACAATAATTTAACCATGAGGAAGCAGCTCAAATAAACCAAGATGCATAAGATTCTTCAGCAAAATTAAATACCTGTAAAATAAAAACAAAACTAAAGATAGATTAGATGTAGAACTTCATTTATTTACTTTTTGCTTTGTCTACAAAAAGGAAGCACGTCTAACATTTAAAATCATAGCATTCAAACACAAATTTCTTACACTAATAACACTGTGATATCATCTTCGCATAAAAGTCATGCTCTATAATTGCCACAAAAGCAGGTTCTTTTTATTCTCCAAGGGGATTCATCAACCAATTCCAAAGAAAGGTTTCCAGAGAACATAGCTTCAAGATTAAAATCAAAAAATTAGTTTCCAATAAGGAAGATTTACATACATATCACTGAAAATGACAAAGGGAACAAAAATATGGCAATGAGAATACAACCTGATATGTATGAATTGACTGCTAGGTAAAACATATGAGCTTTGCAAATCTTGTAACAAAAATCTGTCTTAATATACCAAAGTATTTGTAAAGAATGAAATCTGAAACCAACAGCTATGTTGGGTGAAAGTATTGCCATGCATGTGGGGATAAAAAAAGGTAAATGTTACCACGAAATCATGAAAAAGAACCTATAGATATGAGGATAAAGAAACAACAAAACTAGTGTCCGCAATGTTTTTGTTGAGGTATTGTTCCGTTCCTGGGTTCTAACGTTGACGTGGGTGAACTAGCCTATCTCTCAAATGGTGCTCACGATCATAGTCCACCGACAGTTGTGCCCCCGTCATCATACCAGTCCGTGTCATGAATTATGATTGTTGTTGTGGAGTTGGTGGAGACAACCAAAAATGCCTAGAATATGGTGATTTGAACGGGGTGGTGGCTCCACCCATTCAGAATGGGGGAGTGCTTTGGTAATGTAGTGGTGTAAATTGTGTATGTTGTTGTGGCAGGTGCTACGATGTGCTGTTGAATGCATGCTCGGCATACAGCTCGCTTGGATTGCAGATAGCAGATGAACTTGGATCAACTCGAGTTGATGGTGCTACACTTACAACTGCTAACAGGTATAAACTACCAGAGGTTGGTGGGTGCTCCGCAATGTTTTTGATGCCTCAACTGTAATATACAGTCTTGTGAACCTCTCTGCATAAGCCCTCAAATGCATCGATTAGAGGTTGATATGGGTTGTCATCACATTTCCCAAATATAGGCCGTAGCTTAAAATATTAGATAACCGTCATAGCTTCCGTCTTCAGGAAATGATGGCCCTGCATCAATTTCAAAATATTAGATAACCATCATAGCTTAAAATACTTATAACAACACTAAATTACATACCAGAACTCTCTCCTTTGGTGCTTTTGGATAATATGATTTTGGTACTTCAGATGGAGCTTGTAGCAAGTATAAGGAAGCCCAAGATATATACCAATACATGTATTCTCTACATGCTTGATCTTCACTGATATCCATGTTATCACTCTGGACAATTAAGCCACGTCTGTTTCTATAAAGTTGAAAGAAAAAAAAATTAACAACAATCTCATGAATTTCAAAACCAACATCACCTTAAATTAAGAAAAAAGAATAACAATCTCTCACACACAGAAGAAACTTTAAAAAAACTGTAATAATCAGTAACCATTGTCAAATAGAAAAGACGAGCACTTCATAGAAAATTTCTATAGAGTTTAAAATGCCGCTCTTCAATTGGCAATAAAGTCTTAGGTCAAAGGCACTAATGCATACAACATATATAATATCGTTGAAACAAAAACAAAGAATCCTCTAGTGTACTATAGGAAATGTTTTGCCATAGCTAACCTATAAAAATTTTGCTACATTTATTGGCTGAGATACTCGTATGATTAATTCATCATACACAACTTATTCCACCAACAAAATAGAAATCAATCATAAAATTAAAGTCATTAAACATCACTCTATGCATTAGTATCACGCTAAAGTGATTTAATTTCACAATCCCTGAGTAATTCAATAAAAGACAGAATCAAACATAAATTCAACAAGAGATTTCAACAAGAAAAACAATAATGAGAGAATAGCCCTACGAACCCAAGAAAAACAACTAAAAAGTTTAGAGATAATCATTGAACACATATCACATCGAAAGATTTGTAAAGTAAATAAATACCACAATCATAGACTTATTTTCTTTTATATTAGTCATATGCAAGTCATCACTTGTAAAAGGTTATAATTAAGAAACCAAATTGTAGATTTCCATATTTTCCAAAGCTCAGAACTTGGATATTAAACAACTTTTTAAAATGAAAGTGGACCAATGCTTTCAATTTTGTGGTTTGCTTCACATCATAAGAATAACTTCAAACAAAAATGCCTTCAATCCGACCAATCAATATCATTAAACATCAAAAGCAAATTTAAAAGTTAAATGAGCTGTTTTGGAAAGTTAATAAATCCTAACGTTTAGGCACCATCAATAACTTACCTTCCTCAATCGTTTCTGTTAGGAGTGGAGCGGAAGAATGAGAAAGATGGGAATTTTGGTGGTCTCTAAAGGCCGCAATCACTTTGTTTTCTTTCTAGCTAGCTTTAATCGCAATTATATCGCGAGGGTTCTGTCAAGAAGGTGAAACCTTCGCCTATGTCCCTCCCCCTCTCCTTGTTTTGGGCAGAGACTAGAAAGAGGGAAGGGACCTGGAAAGCAGGAGTGATGGAGGTGAGGTTGCGGGTTGTGACGATGAGGAAGCAACGTGTGGCAAGCGGCGAGCGGCGAGCGGCGAGCGCCGAGGCAAGATTATCCTTCGATCTCCTCTCCTCTGCGACGAACAAACTATCAAAAGCGAGCTGCGAAGGAAAGAGGAAGCATGCAGTCAAGTCCAGGATTAACGTGAGGCCGTCAAAAATTTCAGATTTAGGGTCCAGTTTGGGAAAATCTAGAAGCTGAGAAAAAAAATTTTATTTTGGATGTCCCAGGATTAACGTGAGCCGTCAAAATTTTTTTTTTGTTTTTAAATGAATCCCTACTTCTGAAGTATCAAATATATGATTTTCACATTTTTGTTTTAAATAATTTTATCAAATAAAGGCTGAATAGTTATTTTTTAAAAAAAAACAGCTGTCTCACAGCTGTTTACACAGCTGCAACAAACAAACAGTCTGCTTGCCCGCAGCAGCTTCCTGGGACAGCGCACCTGTCACTGAAAAGCTGAGAAGCTGCAGCTGCCCCAAACAGACCTTTAAGCGAGCGGACGAATTAAACAGAGTAAAAAATCATGTTTGGTGGATTTATGTTAAATTCACATGTAAATTCACCTTAAAATAGACTTACAAACTCCCTTGTAATGTTACTTGTGAACTTATTTTATTTGAAAACAAATGATTAGATGATTTTCTTTTAAATTAATTTTATTTGTGAGAATTACATACTGACCACCCATACAAACTATCTGAAAATATTGACATTTACAAATTAAGCCCTCAGGTGATTTGTTTGAACTATTGAATCACATGTTGCGATCAAATTATTGAGAATTTTATAAAAATGAAGAATATGAGTTGGAGGTTTATCATGAATTTTGATATTTGAGTGAGAATTTAAAAAATAGATGAAAGAAGTAGGTTGATTTGTAACTAATAAGTTTAGGGTGGGTTGTATGTAATAGCCCCATATATGCTCCTCGCCAATTAATGTTGGAGTGTTATCTTTCACCTAGGTTTTTGGTTGTATCTGAACCTCCACCGCTATCGGCGCCCTGATTGTCCCAAAGCACTAAGAGCTTCAGGGTCAGCAGCGCCAGCCACTGGAGCTAGTTCTTCAACGGCTGGGACATCCTATATACCCTCATCGTCTCTCAGGATTCTCTCTTGCTGATGATCACCAGGGTCTCCCAATGACGCCACTTGATTTTGCGGATTAAGCTCACGTTCTTTCCTTTTCTACACAATAAGCTTCTTCCTCAATATGGAGGAGGCAGAGAGCTCTTCTCTTCAAGAAACATGAAAACACATCTTTATCAAAGAGACCATGAGCCCTCGCACTAGGGCTGTAAGCGAGGCGAGCCTGAGCGAGCTCAGGCTTGGCTCGTGTTCGACTCGTTCGAAATAGCTCGTCTTCGAAATCGGCTCGTGAACAGTGTGTTCGTGTTTGGCTCGATTAAAATATTTGTGTTCGTGTTCAGCTCGTGTTTGGCTCAAAATTGGCTCTTTAAACTTTAATTGAGGAAAATTGATGGCAAGTGTGGGGTCGAATCTAGATCAAATATCTACAAAAAAATGCACTAACCACATTGCCACATGAGGTGTTATGATTTAAATTTAGACATAAATATATATAAGGAAAGAACTCTTCGTCTCTCAGGATTCTCTCTTGCTGATGATCAGCAGGGTCTCCCAATGACGCCACTTGATTTTGCGGATTAAGCTCACGTTCTTTCCTTTTCTACACAATAAGCTTCTTCCTCAATATTTCATTCTCATGAGGAGGTAAAGAGCTCTTCTCTTCAAGAAACATGAAAACACATCTTTATCAAAGAGACCATGAGCTCTCGCACTAGGGCTGTAAACAAGTCGAGCTTGAGCGAGCTCAGACTTGGCTCGTGTTCGGCTCGTTCGAAATAGCTCGTCTTCGAAATTGGCTCGTGTTCAAAATTTGCTCTTGAATAGTGTGTTCGTGTTCGGCTCGTGTTCGACTCGAAATTGACTCGTTAAACTTAAATTGAGAAAAATAAATGTAAAGTGTGAGATTCGAACCTGGATCAAATATATACAAAAGAAGACACTAACCACATTGCCACATGATGTGTTATGATTTAAACATAATTTTTTTATTTCGAGCTAAAACGAGCCAAACACGATATAATATTCAATTGCAATATATTCT